AACCCTAATAGACTTAATCTTGGCCAATGGTGAAAAGGTCTCATCATAATCAACTCCCGGAGTTTGAGAATAACCCTTTGCAACCAGTCGTGCCTTATAAGTGTGTACATTACCATCCATGTCGGTCTTCTTCTTGAAGATCCATTTGCACCCAACTATCTTACGATCAGGTACATTGTCAACCAAGTTCCAAACTTTATTGTCATACATGGACTGTATCTCGCTATCCATAGCCTCTTTCCATTTAGCAGCCTCAGGGCCTGCCATGGCTTCCGTGTAGCTGTTAGGCTCATCCAGATTTACCAGTGTGTTATCACTGATAAGTGTCTCACCTTCTGCAGTAATATGAAAACCATAATAATGCTCAGGTGCATTCCTAACTCTGGTGGAACGCCCAGAGGTATAGATTCTTCAGTCGGCTCAACAGGAGTTTCCTCCTCAGGTTGAGGGCTAGGGTTTGAGGTTCCTTCACCACTTGACTCTTGAATTTCCTCAAGGTCAATTTGCCTCCCACTGTCTCCTTGGCTCATGAATTCTCTCTCTCGAAAGAATCCTCTTCTTGCTACAAAGACCACATTATCACTGGGTCTGTAGAAGATGTAACCAAAGGATTTATGTGGGTAGCCGATGAAAATACACCTTTCGCTTCGGGGTTCGAGCTTATCGTGAGTCTCGCGTCTCACGAAAGCCTCGCAACCCCAAATCTTGATGTGGTCTAGATTGGGAACTTTTCCAGTCCACACCTCGTGAGGTGTTTTGGCAACCTTCTTTGTAGGGACTAGATTAAGGATATGGGCGGTAGTCTCTAAGGCATACCCCCAAAATGAGATTGGTAGCGAAGCTCGACTCATCATGGAACGAACCATGTCCAACAAGGTCTGATTGTGCCTCTCAGCTATACCATTCAACTGTGGTGTCCTAGGAGGTGTCAATTGTGAGACAATCCCACATTCCTTAAGATAGTCAAGGAACTCAGTACTAAGATACTCACCACCACAATCGGATCGAAGCATCTTAATGTTCCTGCCCAACTGATTCTCCACTTCTTGCTTAAACTCTTTGAATTTCTCAAAGGTTTCTGACTTATGCTTGATTAGGTAGACATATCCATATCTAGTAAAATCATCAGTAAATGTCACATAGAACCGATTAGCATCTCTTGTGGTGGTTCTGAAGGGTCCACACACATCCGTGTGTATGAGGTCCAACAAACCTTCACCCCTAGCACAAGTGCCAGTAAAAGGTGACTTTGTCATTTTACCAAGCAAACAAGATTCACAACTATCATCTGACTTTAGGTCAAATGGCTCCAAGACTCCATCCTTTTGGAGTTGGCCTATGCGTTTCTTGCTTACATGTCCAAGACGACAATGCCATAAGGATGCTTTATCTAAGCTAGTGGAAGAGTTAATACACAATACATTATTTCCTAGATTATCTACAACATATATAGTTTCATACACGCCATCACAAGGTAATGCTTTAAAATAAAGAACATTATTAAAGAAAGCATCAATACTACCATTATTATTATCAAAATAAAAGGTAAAACCTTGTTTATACAATGCATGAAAGGAAATAACATTTCTTGCCATTTCTGGCGAATAATAACATTTATTCAAATCTAATGTAAACCTACTATTTAGCACTAAGGAATAAACTCCTATCTTGGTGATAGGTGAAGCTTTCCTGTTTCCCATGATCAAGTTTATCTTTCCCTGCTCCACATTCTCACTTCTTTTTAGTCCCTGCAAATCACAACATATGTGAATACCACAACCTGTATCAAGGACCCAAGACTTAGAATGAGGTGAGTTATTAGACAATATAGTGTATATACCTGCATGGTTGGGTTTTACTTTCCCATCCTTCAAATCTTGCTGGTACTTTGGGCAGTTTCGCTTCCAGTGCGACTTTTCATGGCAATAGAAGCATTCAGCCTCATTAGGGTTAGCAGAAGGAGTGACAAAACCTTTCTTGGTTTTGCTTGAAGAGGAGCCTTCAAGGGTCTTACCCTTGGTACCCTTAGAAGGTTTCTTTCTCTTCTTCCCTTTGCCATGCCCGATTGCCAAGAAATTGGCCGCAGTTGGAGTAGGAGTAGGAGTAGTAACAACCGACTTACCCTTTAGACCACTTTCGGCGGTCTTCAAGAGTCCTTGAAGTTTGCTGAGGGTGACTTCTTCCTTGTTCATGTGATATGTCATGCGGAATTGATCATAACACGATGGCAAGGAGTGCAAAATGATGTCTATTGCTAACTCCTCAGGGAAGTTCACATTCAGCTTCAGTAAACGGTCCACATACCTTTGCATTTTCTGCATGTGGCCCGTGATGGGTTCAGCATCCTTCATTCGGGTTGTTATCATGGAGGAGATTATTTCATATCGCTCTTGACGAGCACTTTGATGGTAGCGGTCCATCAAGTCCTGGTGCATCTCAAAAGGATAATAGTCCTCATAGGAATTTTGGAGCTCGGCTGTCATGGTGGCCATCATGATGCATGCCACTTTTGTAGCATCTCTTTCATGTACCTCATATTCAGCAAGCTCTTCAGGAGTAGCAGTTGGCTCGGGTACCTTCAGCTCCTTGTCGAGAACATATTTTTTGTTCTCATACCGAGTGACCATCCTGATGTTTCTGATCCAATCTGTAAAGTTGGACCCATCAAAGATGACTCTCCCACAAAGATTCATGAGAGAGAAGGAGCTAGTAGGGTTTGAGCCAGAAGCATTGTTATTGGAAGACATCTGAAAAGAAGAGGGAATAGATTAGATTAGATATAGAGATAGTCCTTAACAAAACACCCAAATGTAATATTAAGGCTAGGACCCAACACAATATTTTATAACTTAGAAGAGGGATGCCGTAATCTAAGCTATAAGATATTTGAAGGTAGGTGAATGACGATTCACCAATTTCCACCATGAAAAACGAAATATTTAATTAGGTTTTAATTGGTTTAGAAACTCCTAGATTCTTTGAGATTATTGAACTTTCTTCAATGGCATGTTTCAATCTCGAGTGTGCCCTTCAAGTTTTGTGACTGGGATGCCGAGGATCACAAAACAAGGTGTGAAGTAACCATGCAAATTACTTGGTACCCTTAATGTATTACCCCTCAATCGATGTGCCGGTTAACCACACACGCTCCATCGATACTATGATAAACATTAAGTCACCCTTTACCTACCTTGTTAAGTTCAAGTTAGTGTGCTGGTTAACCACACACGCTCCACTAACGACTTAAACAAAGTGTAAAGTGTAATTTCATGGATTAGCACCTTATTCACATTTTCCTAAAATAACTAAGATTGGGAATTCAATAAAGTTTAGTTACTTTAGTATTATCATTATACTTTTAATGAGAATTTATAATTCCTTGTCCTACCCGTTCGGCTAACGACCCTCCACCGATCAAGGAAGCGGTGGGTGAGAGTGGACACCCATTAAGTTGCCATTTTATAGGCAACAACCTTATACCCCCCTTATAGACCGGATTCGTGAATGAGGCGTACTAGCGGTAAGACGACTTGATCTTATACATATATAAATATTATTAAACTTATAATATTATAAAGTATAAGGGTTGAATTTTAACTTTTAAAATTCTAGGGGTTGGAACTAAAGTTTTTAATATGACTTTACATGTTCCAAAACTTGAGGGCAAGTTTTGTAAACTTTCAAAACTTTTCATTTCTCATAACTTATGAGTTAATGGTTATTAAAAATGAAGACTCTTCATTTTTTGTAACCTATGTGTTCTTTTAATGGTTATTTATAAATGTGACTTTTGGTTATCCGTAACTTAAGAACTAGTTATGGACTCCATTAAAACACATAAAGATCAAGAATTAATCAAATCAATTATTAGCACATAATTTCTATGATCTTCTAAACTCATATGTTTATGAATGTTCATATCAAAAATTTCAAGAATTGTAAGTACATATACAAAACTTGAAATTTTGATACGAGCTTTTGAACAAAACTTCGATTTTCAAGTTTTTTTTTTTTTTTTTTTTTTTTTTTGCATCAAGTATCAAATAAACAAACCAGTCTCTGATACCACTGATGGGTTTTGAGCATTCTAACACTCCTATGGTGTACATGCAACCCTAGAAACCTTGGATCTATGTTTGACTTGTAGTTGTAGTTGATTGCTTGGAGTTTGAGAGCCTAGCACCAATAGTGTGGATGCCTCAAATGGAAGTCACAAAACACCACAAACTTGGATACTTGAGAGAATAGTCACAACCTTTCTTGAAATCGGCCCTCTTAGTTTTCTCACATCAACTAGTGTAATTTCAAGAACCAAAGCCTCCTTTATATAGTGTGGTGGATTAGGGTTACATCCATGTAAACCCTAATACCCATGTCTTTTCATTTCCATGAGATCCATGGGTTAAAGCTCCATGGAGTATCCATGGACTTTCCATGCAAGCCTAGCCCATTCCAAATAAGCATTAGCCCACACTATATAAATACAAGAGCCCATATTTAATTAGTCATACTTTTGATCTCTAAATTAATTCTAAATTAATTATAGATCAACACTAATTAAATAATATGATTTTATATGAATATATTAGAACTTATAATATATTAATAAATCATAACTTATACTATTCTCAAAAGATTATCCGTAAATTGTTCGGGTGAAGTGCAACCCAAATGGACCATGCCGGGTCGGGTCAAGTACATACCAAATATAGTTATGGACTTAGACACTATATCCAACAGTCGAGAGATCAGCAGTTCGGGGATCTGTCAGCTAGCATCGAGGGGTTATTCGTAAGATTCTACAGTCAGCTTTGCGAGGTGAGTTTTCTCCTGTAGGAACGGGTCTACGGCTACAATGCCGACCCGTTTAGTTGTTAGTAGTTCTGGATTTAGATCCTATGCTGGGGTTAGCCCGATGCAGTTTATATGTTCCGGATTTTGGTCTGATGTCGGGCGAGGCCTGAGGAAGGTTTATATGTATGTTTCCGAACTTCGGTTCGATGCCGGGTGGTACCCGAGGCAGGAATGCATGTCTAGTTATACTTGTTGTCTTTGTGATACTTGTATGTGCCTAGTAGAAAGGTGAGTGTGGGCGGGGGCCCGTATCTCACCACTAGCCGTGACTGGACGGGGTTCTACATCTCATTAGTAGTAGAATAGGGGCGGGGCCCAAGATAGGCGGGGCCTTGAGACTAGCAGTTACAGCGTAGAGACTGTCTGTTATGTATTAGCATGATTTTATGTTTATGTGATTGTATGTGTATAGCGGGCGAGGCCCAGAGACAGGCGTGACCTAAGAGAAACAGATCTGTATATCAGGCGGGGTCTGATACCGGATTCGTCTGATGTCGGGCAAGTCCCGTTGCAGCGGGCGGGGGCCCTGTATATGTGCTTATGTGTATGGTATGTGGTAGATTGGGAAGCTCACTAAGCTTCGTGCTTATGGTTTTCAGCTTTGGTTTCAGGTACTTCCGGTAGCGGAGGGAAGAGCTTGGGATGACTGCATGGCACACACCAAGAAGTTTTAGCCTGGGATGTTTACTCTGATAAAAAGAACATGTTTTGAGATGATACTCTGATTTGATATAACGATTTTTGTTTATGAATGAAATGGTTTGATAATTATGGTTTTTATTAATGATTTAAAAAGAAATTTTTGGACCGTATTTTTGGGATGTTTCAGTTTTGTTTTAAGTTAATCAATATTACACTTAAATGGGGGAGGTTTGTTAGTAATTTGTTATCATTAATGTTAAACTTAAGTGTAATGGGATTAATTTTTTAACCAAAAGTGATCTTGATAAATATTAAAGAAGTAAGGAAGGTGTGAAGAACACACTTGTTTAAGTTTGATCAAGTTTCAAAATACACTATCATTTAGGGGCGAAGCCCTTGGCGTATTAGTCTAAAAACCAAAATTAGAATAAGACGCCTGTTTTAGAATAGGAAAACTCGTGTTAGTCTAAAAATGGAGCACTTGTTTTAGAACAGGAAAATGCGTCTTAGTCTAAACAAGCATTATCTGCCTTAGACCGAAATGCGTAGTACTGTCTTGGAAATTTATTATTTGGGTTATGTTGTTGTACTAAAAATAAATAAGAAATCTAAATTTTGACTTTTATGACATTTTTTGACAGTTTTCATACATGTAACTATTTTGTGATAGTTTCCGGACAAAGGAAGTATTTAACCGGATTTTGGTCAGTTTTTTGGTACTTACGAAATTGACACTTCTCATTCTTTATTCTGAATCTCTTCTGAGTATTATCCAGTCAAAGATTAGGGAGTACCGCTCAAATACTTTGATTTGAAAGTGAAATCACAATTCTCAAAATATCTAAGTGTCTTTATTACCCCCAAATTTCTAACAGATTTGATGAAAATATATAGGATAACATATCTAAGTGCCTTTATTACCCCTATTTGATAAAAAGATATACGATAACATATCCAAGTGTCTTTATTATCCTAAATTTCTAACGATTTGATGAAAAGATATAGGATAACATAAACGTATATTGGAATATTGGATGACAACCGAGATAAAAGTCATGTGACACCCTTAACATTGGCGGAGCATTATAAGGGCCAAGGGGGGCTGTGCCCCCCCCCCCCCCCCCCCCCTGATTTTTTGGTTCTAAATAGCCCTTATAGTTTCATTTTATACATTTTATACCCAAAAGTATAAAATTTTGACATTGGCCCCTCCTGCTTACCAATTTTTATACATATTATATATTTGGCCCCCCCGAATCAAATGTTGAAGCTCCGCCCCTGACCCTTAACACTTTGAGTTTCGGTTCTCATTTCAAATATTTTCCTTCTGAAATAAGGACTAAAAGTGTTGTTACTGACATAATGAGGGACTAGTTACGTATCTTACTCCTCATTATATAAATCGTCAACCCTTACCGTTCTGTTTCGCGCTTTCCTCACGCTATCACACCATCCCCACTACATCCTACGATTGACACAGCCACCATCGTCCATCGCCTCTCTCGTTTACAGGTAACGATCATAATCTGTATGATGACTTAGTATTCCTTTTTGACTGTATTCACTCATCGTTTTAGGTTTAGTTAATCTCGAACAATTAATCGTGATATATTAGGGTTTACCTGATAATCCTGTAATCGGTATCAAACTAGTTTATTAATCTCGAACACATAATACAAGGATCGTATTTGTAATAAATGATGCAACTGTTTTCTAATTTAGATTCTATAACTTTAGAATGCAATCCATCACTTCAAGCTTAAATGCATACGATTTTATAGAGTAATTAAGCAATCCTAACTTCAATATGCAATCTAGTAATCGATTTGATTTTAGACTCATAACCCCATCAGTTTTTTTTTTTTTTTTTTTTGTCTAGTTAATGAATGTTAAACCTATTACTATCCAAATTTGAAACTGACATCAATGATATTGATTGGGTTTCATTGTTTTTTATTTTCTTCTTTTTTAATTTGATGATTTTTTTTTTTTTTTTTGATAATTTACAGGGACCCTCACGTCTTTTGCCCCTCCGTGCACACATTGGTGGTTAAACGTGCTTGTGCACTGGTTCTTGAACCGAAATAGCCTGGGAAGCCTCTGGAAGATTTTGTTCACAATTGGACATATTTTTATTAATTGTCACACGAGATATTGTTTTCTTCTCTAACACATTCATTGGGTGGACACTTGATTTTTTTTCATCATGGGGAAATCATTGAAGTGTCCAGGATTTCGTTTTAAACCTACTGATGTTGAGTTGGTTATGTACTACCTCAAGAAGAAGCTATTGGGGAAAAAGCTTCACCCCGAAGTTATTGCAGAGATTAATATATATGATTTCTTCCCATGGGATCTTCCAGGTATTAATTTGTTGAATTTAAATGATATTAACAACTTGTCTCCTTGATTATTCTTTTCCTGCATCTAACATTGAGAACCTTTATTATATTTTTTCCAGCCAAATCCATCTTGAGTGGTGATCTAGAGTGGTACTTCTTCTGATCACAATCGAAAAAGTATTCAAGTGGGTCCCGAACAAACCGTGCAACTGAAACCGGTTACTGGAAAGGTACTGGCAAAGATAGAGAAGTCAAATACAATGGAAGAAACGTGGCAGTGATAAAGACATTGATTTTCCATTTGGGTCATCCACCAAAGGGGACAAGAACAAATTGGGTAATGCATGAATACCGAATGAAAGATGATGATTTAGCCAATCAAGGTGTTATTGCTCAGGTATTGTGTCTTATCATTTGTAATAAACACAGCCTTTATGTGAACTTTTTAGTAACTACTGAAATTATTTTTATAACCTTTATAACAAACTTGGGATGATGTGTATTGCAGGAGGCGTACGTAATCTGTAAAGTTTTCGAGAAAAGAGGTGCAGGACCACAAATTGGTGCACAGTATGGTGCGCCATTTGAAGAAGAAGAATGGGATGAAGATGATGATGATGATGAAACATCTTCAGGGGTGGTTACTCTGTTGGCGAATCCTAATAATAATGCAAGTGGCTCAACAGGTGTGATGAAACCAGGTTCATCGACTATCACATCTTTGGAAAATGAAAGACTTACAAATGTTCCTGTGAATGATGATGTCATGCTTACCCAGAGTGACCTTGCTCCAATGCTTTGTGATAATGACACTCAGGTATGCAATCTTTAAATAATTTCATTAGAAATTATACATACAAAGAAAACCTATCTCTTAGATGCATTCCAGTTTGTTGTCATTTTCGTTGCTCCTGTAGAAAGTAGTGAATTTTGTTTTTTCTTGTGATGTCTACAGGAGGTGGAAGATGGAAGTAAAGGGAAGAAAGTGATGACTGATGATGGTGTTGATATCTTTAAAGAGTTGGCAGACATGAGCAATCTAGATGATTTGGGACAAGATGCATTTAACATGTTTTTCATTGATGGATCTGCTGATGATGATGATAGCCTGAAATTGGATGCATTTCTGCAAGATGATTTCTTAGACTGACATTGATTGAACGTGGCTATATATCATACTTTTTCAACTTTTCTTTGCTTTCTAGATGATATTGATTGAAAGTGTCCTCAATGTAGTTTTAATCAATAAAAATCAAGACATATCCAAAAAGAAAAACATTTTTTTTTTTTTTGAAAAATCACATGTCAAGTAGAGAACAAAGTTGGGGACTGGGGTGGGGGAATAGAACAGTAACCCAATAAAATCCCAAGAAAACATATCCAATGGAATGCAATCTTTTATTTTATCAACTGAAAATTACAACGTAGTTTCTTAGTCAGAAGTGAACCGCAAAATATAAATTAAGAACAAAACTCTCGATTCTAACAAGCTAATTCAAAATACGAATTCTCTCCAAAAATGTGTCTAATGGATTCACAATGCCCTCTATGAGAAAGAAATGACTATATAGATGTTAGTTTAAATATGACTAATGGATACACAAACTCTCACCTTTTATGGACTTGGTTTTCAACAAAAGTCACCATATAGAATTACTAAAGGTTTGGTAGTGGGACTAGATGAAACATGACTGGATAAGATTGAACAGAACTCGATGGGACGAGATAGATATTCGGTGCATGATCCTTAATAATAGATTGTTAATATGGTGTTTGGAAAGACTAAGCCAGGACAACAAAAAAGTCAAGATTACTATATTGGCCTTCATACGAAATAAGAACATGACTTCATAATTACCAAATAATATGAATTCTAAACAAAATTTAAAAATAAATAACAACATCCATATTAAATATCATTCTTGAAGTTGAAACCACAAATTACTTTCTGTCGAAACCTAAACTAAACAATTTTTTTTTGAAATTATTTGCTTAAGAATAAATTCACATTATTTGTTTAAACACACATATGAGCAGAGTAATGAAAATATTAAGTATCATTCTTGAAAATAGCCTTGTCGAAAAGGATTCTTGGAGACAGGATGTTGATGGTGTCATGGGGTTTTCGGTTCATGATACTAGGCAACTTATTGACAAGGTTTCGCTTCCCGATGGTCTATCAGTTACTAGACGGAATCGATGTGTGCCGCGGAAGGTAAATATTTTGTGTTGGCGGGTGTTGCGAGATCGACTTCCTACAAGGTGAAATTTAAGTCTTAAAGGTTTGGAGCTTCCTTCTTTGGTTTGCCCTATATGCGATGATCATGTGGAGAAAAATGATCATCTTTTTCTCTTATGTAATTTGGTGGGTTCTATTTGGCGCAGGGTTTTTAGATGGGTTGATCTAGTGTTGCCTGGTTGGGATATGTTACAAGACATATTTGATTGGCTAGATATGGTCTCGTTATCCAGAGAGAGAAAAACAGATCGATTATTCAAACGGTCATTTGGATGATGTGGAGATTTCGAAATGATATTATATTTTGTGAAGTGGTTCCGTGTAAAGTTTTTATTTTTGATGATATTGTTAATATGTCTTACAATTGGTTTGTTCATAGAAACAATAAGGTTAAAGCTATTTGGGTTAATTGGCTTCAAAACCCATTATTAGCTATTTCTTTGTAATTTCTAGCTTTTTGCTAGTTTCGTGTTCAATTTTAAGCTGTTCAAAAAAAAAAAAAAGTTGAGCACGGGCACAGTGGGGTTATAAAACCCAAAGAGATTCAAATCGGTAATAGAAGATATATACTACAGATACATCGGCTCACTCACTATTCCTCCTCAAAGTTGTGAAATTGAGCATATATTGTATTTGCCATTTTGGTAGTTGAAGCTTTAAAGGAATGACTTGAGTTAATCGATATATTTGTATTTATGTATATATTTATGTATAATTAAAAACATAAATTAATAAAAAAAAGAATGATATCTACAAAAATCAACTAATATCGTTAAAATATACCCCTCCCAAGCTGAAACACGAATACCCAAACATCATTTCGGTCCGGGTATCGGTTATATTTTCATTCGATTGTTAGCCGAAAACCCGACCCAAAAAACCCGAAACCCGGCGGGTATACCCGAACAACAGGCCTACTTGAAACCACAAATTCTTTGTTGTCGAAACCTAAATTAAACGATTTTTTTGTAATTATTTGTTTAATAATAAATTCATATTATTTGTTTAAACACACGTACGAGCAAATTAATAAAAGTATGTAAAGGAAAAAAAACAAATCATAAAGGCTCTGTGGAAAATATACACTGTAATTAGATGATTCAAATTAAGGTGTTGTTTGTTTTTTCGAAGCGAAAACTCGTGAAGTCTGCGGACCACCTCTGCAATCCTCTGTAGCAGAAGAGGTGGAACAAACGGCTGCAGCCCATAATAAGAAGCATGTTTGTTTTTTAACATCTGCAGACTGCTGCAGTAAACTGAAATTTAAATAAACAAATTTTATAAACTGAAAATAGTTTGTTATACATGCTTGTATAATTATACAAGTTGTTATACATGCTTTATCTTCATGTTGTGGAAAAATGTTATCTACATGAAATAATGTCATTACCTAGTATCATGAACATTTATGTGTGATATGTTGTTTATGTAACGCCCCGATTCCCGAGTATCCATTTATAGTTATAAATTCTCATGGTTTCAAGGTCTACTCGACGAGTTGGTGGCCTGACTCGCCGAGTAGCAGCGGGTTGGCCCGCGAGTTTAAGTGACCTACTCGCCGAGTCCATAAAGGGACTCGACGAGTAGGAGCTGGCAGATGAAACCCTAAATCTCGGGGTTTTGCACCCTATTTAAAGAAGCATAAGCCTCCTTTGGCCTCTTTGCAGTTCTAGAGAGCTCTTAAGAAACCCTAATTCGTGTGGTGCTCTATTGTGTGTGTATTAAGCTTGGGAGGAAGATCTTTGGAGAAAAGGAACTTGGAAGGCAAGGGAATTGGAGCAAGGAAAGTGTGGGAATCAGAATCTACCTCAGTTAGCATCTTCCAGAGGTATCAAGTCGCCACCTTTACTTCTTTTCCCTTCTAGATCTCTTTTGGTTGAGTTTGGGGATTTTATGGATCTTTGAGTTGATAAGGTGGACTATGGGCTAGATCTGAAGTTGTAACTTCAGATCTGGACCCTTCTTAAGTCCTAGAGTCATAAAGTTTCTGTTTTGGGCGTGAATGAAGCCTTCCTTGGGTAGGAAACCCCATTACGGGCTTGGATTGGACATTTGGAGCCTTTATAGCTATGCATGCACGTAAAGTTTGCAACTTTACGTGAAAAGCATGCCTTAGAAGCTTGGATCTGTAGTTTGGAGCCGCTGCATGACTCAAATGAGTCTGTATGGCAAAAGGGACCGAAGGGACTCGGCGAGTCGCATGGTCGACTCGGCGAGTCATATGAAGATAGGCATGAACTCGACGAGTTGGAAGAACAACTCGGCGAGTCCGTTGGAGATTGCCATAGACGCGACGAGTTGTATGAACAACTCGGCGAGTCGGATGAGATTTCCCCAAGTTATGTATGCGTGCGTATCCGTCGAGTTGCATGAAGGAAACTCGACGAGTGGCCGTAGAGCTTCGATCGTAAACCGAAGGAACTCGACGAGTCACCCCGGTAACTCGGCGAGTGGGCAAGTACTTCAAGGAACTCGGCGAGTAGCCGAGGGTACTCGGCGAGTTAGGGTCAACATGGACTGTTGACCTTGACTGAGGACTTTGACTTTGACCAAGGGTTGACTAGTTGGTTTATGGAGTACCTCGTAAGGTTGAGGACTTATGGGTATATTCGTATTATGTTAATAGGTGGTGGAGTCTTTGGCAAGTGATCCGAGAGTTGGAGTTTATCTACCGAGTCGACATCTGCAAGGTGAGTTATCCTCACTATATCGATAGGGTCTACGACACTAAGGCCGGCCCTTTATCGGATTTGTATCCGGGTATATTGCATGTTATGTTTATTGAACTGTTAGATCTGCGTCCTGGTAGTTAGGACGGTATTGTGTTTAGTGACCTGGTAGATCGGTATCCTGGTATATAGGATGATGCTATGTTAGTGACCGGTTAGGTCGGTATCCTGGTTATAGGATGTTGCTATGCTATGTGATCTGCTAGATCGGTTTGTTCGTCTATAGACCGTTATGTGATTATCTGTTATATGTGCACATGGTTGTTTTGATTGGGTTGGGTTGGGTTGAGGCGGGTCCTGCTTCGTGCTGTAGGCCAACATACCCAGGGCGGACCGGATAGACTGCAGACCCGGGAGGGCACTTAGTCAGGCCGAAGGCCCGACTAGCGGTCCGGATAGGCTGAAGGCCCCGAGAGGGTGGACCAGACGTGCCGAGACTCGGAGAGTGGACCATATAGACTGAAGGCCCGGTGCGGGCGGACCAGTCACACTGTAGACTCGAGGTGCATGGCTGTTCTGTATATGTTGATATGATATGATTATGGTTATGTGAGGTTGGTATTTTGGGGGTAACTCACTAAGCTTTCGGGCTTACAGTTTCAGTTTATTGTTTCAGGTACATCAGGAGACCGTGGCAAGGCAAAGGCGTGATCGTACCGCTCCTCACTTTTATGATGTTGTTTCTGGGATACTCTGATAATAAACTATTTTGGAAAACCTTTTTGTAATAACATTTGGTATTTTGAATGTTTAAAAAGTTTAAATTTGGCATGAATTTTATGGGTGTTACAGTTTAAAATAAAAATCTATGAAAAATGAGTATGAACATGCTATATGTTCTTAAGAAAAAGTCATAAAAACAAAACTATAAAAACTAGGGTTTTTATGAACATAATATGAGTTTTCTAGCAAAAATGGTTTTAACCAAGTTATTACATCATTTTTTGTGGGATATAAATCAAAATATGTTATTTTGGACATATGTTATGAAACTAGTTATAAATACCAAGGATTTGGTTTACAAATAGAAAACCTAAAAATCTATCACACTATGTAAAAATTTAGGTATTCTACCAAAAATGGTCATGACTAGGTTATGGTACCATATTTGTGAGATTTGACCTAAAATATGTTGTTTAAACATATAAGGTTAGCTTGAATTAATCTCCACGTAGAATCGATTAGCATCCCTTGTGGATGATCTGAAGGGCCCACACACATCTGTGTGTATGAGGTCCAAAAAACTTTCACCTCTTTCACAAGATCCAGTGAAAAGTGATTTTGTCATCTTACAAATAGACAAGATTCAGTTGGAGTAGACATCTATAAAAGAAAGATAGTTTTAGTTGGATAAGAATAATCCTAGTTTTAGTTGGATAAGAATAATCTTCAATATAACACCCAAAATGAAATATCAAGGCTAGGTTCCAACTAAATAATTCACAACTTAGAAAAGGGGCGTCGTTATCTAATTGTAAATTATGTAAAGGTAGGTAAATGATGATTTACCTATTTCACCACAAAAATGAAATTTTAAATGAATTAAGTTTTAATGAAATTTCTAGATCTTTTGAGATTCATTGAAACTATTCAATGACATGTTTAATCTCAATTATGCTCTTCCATTTGTGACTGTGATACCGAGGATCACAAACAAGATGTGAATAACCATTCAAATTAGTTTGACACTCTTGATGTCATTTATCATCTAATTTTAATGTGCCTATTAACCACACACACTCCATTAATCAATGATAATTTTCGAGACACCCATTACCACTCTTTATTAGTCTCACATTAGTGTGTCGGTTAACCACACACACTCTACTAACGACTTATAAAGTGTAGTGTGCAATTTCATGGATTAGCATACAAATTCACATTTTTCCTAAAGTAACTAAGATTGAGAATTTTAATAAAAAACTTTAGTTACTTGTAATAGCATTATACTTTTAATGAGGATTATTTTTCCTATCAAATCCGTTCGGCTAAAGACCCTCCACCACACAGGAGAGCGGTACGTGAGAGTGGACACCCATTCAACGACCTTTTTATAGGCCGCTTCCCTATACCCTCTTTATAGCATGGTTTCGTGGATAAGACCTATTATTGATTTGACTGACTTGATCTTATACATATATTAATAATTAAACTTTTAATTTTACATATAGTATAAGGTGTATTTTAAAGTTTTTCAAAATACTAAAAATTCAACATAAAAAAATAGATTTAAAATAAAACCAAATGATTTAATAATTATCTATTAATTAAACATTTAGTTAATTAAATTAAATCACATAAGGATTATCTAATTAAATTAATCAAACAATTTAATCCTAATCCTTCCCCCTAATTTTCGAAAATGTGGGTAACGATTATCCAATTTTATAATTACCCTATTTAATCAGATAAACTAACAATTACCAAAAAATAAGAAAACTATATCCGTAGATACCTATTTTTGAAAATAGTAGCTTGGGGAGGTAGGTAAGTATTTCAATCCTTACCTTATATTTCGAAATCTTGAGGGGCAAGAAACCCTTGCCAAAATCGAAAACTTGGGAGCCAAGGTAAGGGTTTCATCCCTTACCAAAGTTTCGAAACTTAGGGTCTCAGAAAGCCTAATTTCAAAATCCTTAGCCTAAAGGGTTTGATTTCCATAAACCCAAATTTGATAGATTCAAAAGTTATAACCATTCAATAGAAAACAAACTTAACGCTTTGATACCACTTATGGGTTTTAGACATTACAAAATAAACTTAAAACTTTAAGTGTGCATGTAACCTAAAACAAAAGATCTATGTTTTCACTATTGAACCTATAACTATGAACATCAAAAAGAACCCTAGGTATTTTCGAAATCTAGAAATAAAGAAGAAAAACATACATTTTGATCCTTTGGAAACAAGCAACACAATTGTCGTGCCTCTAGTGGATCATACTCAAGCTAGAAATGAAGATGTTGAGGAGAGAGGGGGAGGAAATTTTTGGATCTCTTTTGGATTACAAGTGACCGAAATTTCTAAGGCATAGGACCCTTTATATAGTGCAACAACAAAACCTTATATAAGCCCCAAACCAATAAAATAACATTATCTTATTTTTGGTAATTATTTAGCTTTCTAGTTATCCTCAAAGGATAACTCTAGAGCCTCAATAACCTACTCAAAACTGTCCCACCCTATGGTGGAAGGTTCTGGAGCCTTTTGCTCAACTATTTAATAATTACACTCTAGTCCCTGCACTTTTAGTTAATTCCGTTAATCCCAAAATTAATTCCAATTAATTTCTGATTAATTATTAATTAAATATTACTATTTCAAATTAATATATTATTCACATAATATATTAATAAATTATTTATTTTCAATTTATTAATCAAATAATAAATCAATCTCTCTCTCCAAAATCATTATGTCCAATTGCTAGGTTTGAGGACAACCCAAAAAGACTGTGCTGCTATCAATTAAAGTTTATATCAATTATAGTTAAGGGCTTAGACATCTAATCCCACATAAACATCTTTTCTTTAAATGTGCTCTTAAGCATTTCTGCTTCAGCAACTATCAACATTTGGGTTAGATCAATTAGCTTCATGTCGATATTCTGCATATAAAATTTCTCAATGAACTGATCATATGATTTTAGAAGCGAGAGAAGAACCTAGTCAATGGCTTGCTCCCTTGGGAAAAACGACAAACCAATCTATCCAACTTGTCAATGTAAGATTTCATTTTCAGAACATGCGTACACATAAAGTTTTCATCTTGATGTCTACATGACAAAAAGGATTGAGTAGTCTCGTATCTTTCGACTTGAGAAAATGTGACGTTAGGAGAGTCACAAGAGGAGGAGGCATGAAGAGAGATGATGTCTAGTTCCATCATTTCCTAAGGAAGGGAAAACAATTTTACCTTGACTTGAAATTGAAAGACCATCTCTAGAGTATTGAGGAAAACTATTTACATAGAAATGAAGAATACTTTTTCTATCTTTATAAGACATTTAAAATAGGAGAAAAGAGAATTCAAGTTAGTTGATTTTAATCCTTAATTATTAAGCCACATTTTAAATTAACGATAGGATCCATATTTTCGATTCGAACTTTGAAAACTGATGTCGTAGTCAAATTCGAATCTATTTTAGGTAGGTAAGACTTTTACCAATTCCAATCTTATGAAACTTCTAGATCTTTTGAGATTCACTGAATCGTATCAATGACATGTTTAATCTCGAATCATGCTCTCACTTTTGTGACTGGGATGCAGACGATCATAAACAAGATGTGAATAATCATGTAAACCGGTTCGACAACATCGTTGTCATTTATCATCTCACATTGATGTGCTCGTCAATCACACATGCCCATCAACAATGATAATTTTCGAGATGCCCATCAAAATCTCTTTATAGTCCCTATTAGTGTATCGGTTAACCACACACACTCCACTAACAACATATAAAGCATGATGTGTATTTTCATGGATTAGCATACCTTTCACATTTTTTATAAAGTAACTAAGAGTTGGATTTTTAAAAATGGTTTAGTTACTTTATGTCATTATACTTATTAGTGAGATTATGTCCTATCAAATCTGTTCAACTAACGACCCTCCACCATACAATAGAGCGGTGAGTAAGAGTGGATACCCTATTCTTACAAATCAATTTAAAACCAGCCCAATTTCTAATTTATAGCCACCCTATTTCTACAAAACTTTTCACAAACAACCCTAGTTTTGCAAAAAAATAAAAAAATAAATAAATAAATAAAATATATAAATAAATAAAATTACGATCATGAAGTTGACTGGATTTGATGTTTTCTGACGGGTGTTTAGATGAACTTGAAGTCTGTAACTTTTGAATGTGGGATTCATGTTGGTCGGTGATGTTATTTAAGTCAACTTAAGGACGAGTGTTGAAGAAAAAGCATTTTAGCAGGTAGGAGGATTTGGTTTAGGGTATAAGTTTCTAACCCATATTTAGATTTCAAAACAAGGGCATATACAAACTTGGTGGAATGATTTTCCTACCCTACGGGCTCCTTAGAAGACTTTTTGGGGGTAAACTCTACTGTAAAAGTTGGATGTAGGTCTTTAAACACCTTAGAAGCAAAATCAAGACCATTCTTATGGACTATATGGAAATATAGGAACGACCTGATCTTCACACCAATACTATGGACAAGAGTCTGTTAGCTTTAGCCTATGATGTCAAGGCTTTTACCTTTTTATGGATTAAGAATAGAGCGAAATCGGGTAGAAATTTGATTTGGAACTCTTGGGTTGAAAACCCATTGTATTGTACCATGTAATTCCAACTTCTTGTTGTTTTTAATTGAAGTCTAGCATTTAAAAAAAAGATTTCAGAACAAGGGATTAGTTTTAAGTACATTAACATCAATTCAACATGTGAAACAACATTCAACATCCATTTGCATATATCAAAAATACTGTTGGATTTGAAGGTTTATGTATATGACAAATTAACATATAGGTTATGAAGAAGATGATTGTAGTAACTTGAACTCATATTAGATGTTCCAAGGCTGACCCGTATGTTTATTTTTCTTTATATGGTTACATGTATGTAAGTATAAATAGGAATCCTCATCAAATACTCCAAAAGAAAAGGATCTGTACCTAAGAAATGATTATTACGTAAACTAAAAAAATCAACACAAGAAATTGAAACCAAATAAATTTATGGTGGAAGTATTAGCAAAGAAGAAAGATTGGAATATTCATTATTTATAAGCTTCAAGGGGTACATGAAAAAACGAAATGCACATGCACAACAAAGGTGCTTATTCTACTTGTAACTTCGTGTGCGACCTTATTTTTATAGTCTCACATCGAAGAAACAAGATACGATATTAAAACATATAAAATACATATAAGTACCACATTTAGAATACATTTAACATTTGTTTCCATGCATCAAACACAACATGCATGCATGCATGCTGCTGTATATATATCATCTTACGGCTGAAGAATAACACCCAAAGAGTCCAAGTAATCCCCGTACTTTGCATAGAACCCCGAAAACTTACCGCTTGAGACCCCAAGCGAAAAGTCAGTCCCCGGGTTTGTGCCGTATGGCCCATAAGTTCTTAAGTTGGTCTGGAAAGTCAGTGATGTAACCAAGGTGATGCCAGCATATGATCCAACACGTCCACTAATTGTGATGAGGTACTCGTTTTCATTGAAGGTGATCTGGAACCGAAATATAAACATGATGACTGCTATATTATAAAATAAGAGCCTAACTACGATATGTAACTTCGATGTGCATGTATACGTGGCAGATGAATTCAAAGCTTACCTTATGAAACGAGCCACCGGCCTCGCTACCGAATGTTTCAGAATGGTCTGTGCCAGATTGATCCTTGTAAGTGAAGCGGATGAAATCTATAGCTTCTCCACTCCTAATATCTATCTTGGTAAGACGAGCACCATCAGGTATTATGAATTCCCCCGATTCGGTTCCAGCCTTACCTCCCCAAGGTGCGATCCATACGGTCCTGCCTGCCTGCATACACACACACACACATATATATATATATATATATATATATATATATATATAATATTACTAAAAGAGTTGAAAGAATTTTAGCATTGACGAAAGATGTAAGCCTTATAATCCTATATAAACGTGACATTCACAAATATATATGGTGAAAGAGTATACCATTAGTGTATTTTGATCTAGGAAATTTTCCTTCTTGTGGAACTAAGTTGTACATCTAGCCTATTACGTCCTCATTATATATAGACACTCGCTCTATGTTGTATAGTTCAAATGAAGTGACATGCATACCATGACCAGACTATATTTCACGTGATCCACATTAGCTAGAGATGGTTGTTAGAAATAAATAACATTGCATCATATAAATGACGTTTTATATAAGCTACAAAGAAAAAAAAACAATTTTTTTTATAAAAACCGTAGGTTACTAAGAAACCTACACTGCACAAGTATTTAATGCACGTTTTGTGCATTGAACGTTTGTACACCGTAGGTTTGTTAAGAACCTATGGCTTTTTTTTCGTTTTATTCAAAAAAAAATGCATCTAATAATTATCCTATTAAACAAGAAAAACAAAAAAAAAACTTCAATATTTGGAGATGCACATTGTTGTTCTTTAGATGCTCTATTAAGATAGATTTTCAAACTTCACATACAAATTGAAAAAGAAAAAAAAAACAATTTTATATATTCTGAGCCAACGAGCCTTGAAACAATAGCCGGCCCACAGAAGAGTTGCCTAGATATCCCAAACCGTAGTCAACTTTTTGTTGACCGTAGTCAACTTCCCGTTGACCGTAAGTTCCTTAATGACTTACGGTTTTGGTGCTAAATTTTAGATAATTGCTATTTTTTGGTTAAAAATAAAAAATATAATCAGAAGATTTGGCTAGTTTTTGTATTTTTTTTTTCATTGTATATTTTCTATGCAATAATTACAAAATCGTTACAAGGAGACAAGAGACAACAATAAATTTAGTACCTAATATTAATATTTGAGAAACAAGTGTCAACTTATCATACGTGATTTTTCTAATGCAGTAATTAGAAGTAGACATCAAACAATAAATACTACCTAACGTTGATATTTGATAAACAAGTGTTCACACTGTTGTATCTTTGCTTCTCGTTTCCATCATCTTTTTAGGCATTGGTTATACTACCTGAACAACCAGACGTTACGACACAAAATAAAATTAAGGTTAAAATATTAATCGATATTTATTGTAAAAAATAACATTTAACGCTATTAACTATGAGAATTATTTTTATACTAAAATAAAAACTTTATACAAATTAGATATTAAGTGATGCCATATGATAAAAGAGATATCTATTGTTAAAATACTGAAAGTGGAAGTTTAAAGTATTTATATTAACGAAATATAGTATATACGAATGTGTTAAAGATCTATGATTTAAAAACTATTGATTTAAGGGCTAATGTCATAAAAACCTTCAAGTTTCAGGGTTTTGTCGGTTTTGCCCAAACTTGAATTTTATGTCCGTTTTTACCCTAACATTTTCGAAAAAATGTTCGGTTTTACCCTTTTACCGGTGATAATAGGTTACCACTATATTAACTTCGCGAAAAACCCTTAAGTTTACAGTTTTTTTACGTTTTTACCCTTAAGTTTATAATTTTTTTTTACACTTTTTACATATTCAAGCAGAAAAATCATATGAATATATATATTATGAAAAAAAATATACTTAGGGTAAAAGTGTAAAAAAAATTATAAACTTAAGGGTAAAAACGCAAAAAATTGTAAACTTAAGGGTTTTTTTGCGAATTTAATATACTGGTTACCTGGAAAACCTGTTATCACCGGTAAAAGGGTAAAACCGAACATTTTTTCGAAAATGTTTGGGTAAAAACGGACATAAATTTCAACTTTAGGCAAAACCGACAAAACCCTGAAAACTTGATGGTTTTTATGACATTAACCCTTGATTTAATCATTTCAGTTTTGATAATGTTGGGTTTTTTAAACAATTATTTTTAAGGCAATCTAATTTCTAATTTTATATACTGTTTAATTAAAGTTCAATTTTGATTTAATTTTTTCTTTAATTATTCATGTTAATATTTAAGTTAAAGTCTATCTTATAAAAAAGTATTTATTTTACAAAAAATATCTCAAGATATTTTAGTAGTTTATTTGAAATTTAAGGGTTAGGTTCATATGAGACGGCCTAATTTTGTGAGACCGTGAGACGTACTCCTAGTCAATCATTTAATAGATAAAAAAACATTTTTACAATGCAAAATAATTGAAAATTTTCGAAAATTTATTTTTCAAATATTATTTTCGAAATTTATATTTTCCAAAAAAAATACCAAAAAAAATAAAAATAAAAATAAAAAATACATTTTTTACACATTCTAAGAATATTAGAATATTCTACATATCTAACAAATCTAGTAGAATATTCTAACATTCTAAAAATCACATTAGAATATTTACAGTGTAATATTTTATTAGAATATTTCACGTATTTTTCAAAAAAAAAACGGTAATTTTTTTAGTTATTTTTTATTTTTTTTAGGTAACTAAAGTTCTGAAAATAATAATTAAAAAAAGAATTTTAGGATTTTTCCTTTTATTTTGCATTTTAAAATTATTTTTAAATTTGGTCTAACGGTCTCACAAAATTAGCATTGTCTCAAATGAACTTTAACCTATATATATATATATATATATATATATATATATATATATATATATATATTATATATATATATATATATATATATATATATATATATATAGGGAAGGGTTATATGGAAAACAAAAAACCTTAAGAAAACGCTAAAAATCATAAAAATGCATAAAAAATACTTAGAGATTACAAATCTTTTTTTTTTTTGACTTTATATTCTTAAAAATCATAGCTTTTTTTATAAATTCGCTGAAAAAAAAATTTTAAAATCATTTTTTTATTTTTCATTTTTTATTATTTTTTTGGTTTTTTTTTCAAAAAACATTTCAACTAATTTATATAAAAATGTGCGGTTTTAAAGAATATAAATTAAAAAAAAAGATTTGTGATCTCTAAGTATTTTTTATGCATTTTTATGATTTTTAGGGTTTTTTTAAGGTTTTTTGTTTTCCATAGAACCTAAGTATTTTTTTATGCATTTTTATGATTTTTATGATTTTTAGACTTTTACTTGTATATGATGTTTAAATGAAACAGTTAAAAGAATCCATAAAAAAAAAGGTATCTATCTAGAGTGACAATCTTGGAAGTAGATTGTGATACAATGAAAACGAAGATCGTATGTGGCTAATTTACATTGATTTCTATATTATATAATAAAAAAAGTGTTTATGATGTGAAATTTGTCTTTGAAAACTTCATATTCTGCAAAATGGGAGGGATATAATTTGGCCACATGATCCTAGAACAGGATGGAGTTACTGCATCACAATCCCAACATGGGTTGTCCTTCCAAAATCTGGAGACTCAGATCCTGTTGTGGTACTTACTGTCACACCCCGAAACCGAAGGCGGAAACGTTCCGGGGCAGAGGACGTCATGCGTAGTATCACAACAGTTGTATCATAGTAAGCATAGTAAACACAACCATTACATTATAATAAGAATATTTACATTGTTCAAAAACATGGTTTATACATGTCAGTATATATAGCAAAAGTAAAAGATGTGACTTCAGGATGTTCCATCTTCTCCAAAAGTTGGCAAAAGTACCTGCCTATTGATGCCCTGAGAATACAAGCAGTTTTAAAATATCAGCATAAAGCTGGTGAGTTCATAAGCGGTTAATTCTGGTGAAATGAATGTTTCCTTGATTCTTTGAAAAGTTGTTTCCCAAGAAAAATCTCATATTTTCTTATCAAAGAGTTTTGATTATCCATTAGTTACACATTAAACAGACTATTTATGAAAGATTAAGTTATTCCAGAAAATCTCATATTTTCTTAAGGGTTGATAGTTGATTATCCATACGCGAGTATCTACCATACTCGGACAACAGTTTTCTTTTCGAAGCTCTGGTTACACCCAAAGGAGTATATTAGCCGTATTTTCGAAGCTCTGGTTACACCCAGAGGAGTATATTGGAAAAGTAAATTCTCGTTACCTAAGTTGTGAGTGCCATTACCGTACTTTGACTGGATAAGGCACGAACGGGGGCCAGTATCTTTTTAAGACTTTGTCACCCCTGAACCTAACGGTTCCGCTGTAGCTAGTACCGAGGGTGTGGGATAGTCAGTCCCGTACAGATCTATACACAATAGTCACGCTCTCCCTCAAAGAGATTCTGGTTATAAGTCGTAGTCCTCCACTCATGAATCCGGGGGAGTGTTACCAAGGACATGTCTCAAACTTAGCCTAACGAATTTACAAGTAATAGTACGAAAATCCTGTTTATGATTTGCATGAATCCTTTATGAGACAATACATATTATGATAAGATTCACAAGTTCCTTGCTTTAGATTTGAAAACTGTTTCTACGAGTTGATTTCTTAATCGAGTGGTAAAACGGTTTTCTGTGTTAAAAGCATACTGAACATATAATTATTTTAAACAAAATAATATATTTGAGCACAAGTTTCTTTGTACTTTTTGCTTACCCCCCCTTGAAAACATGAAAAATTGGGAAAAGTATAGGGGTATGAACTCACAGATTGACGTGGAATCCGAGTGTAAGTTGCTAGGAATTTTTGAGTGTCAATAAAAGCCTTGGACACAAACGGATCCTATTTAGCATGAAGAAGTTCATATATATAAATTAGGTGAGGGCATAACACTATTCGTTATGGAAGGAAACCACCTTAGGGACTAGGAAACACTTAAAACTAAGTGTTAGAATCACATGTGATTGAAAATGGGGAGTTTACGGTCGAAAAAGGAGTTTATGGTTCATGGGCTTACGGTCCATGAGTTTACGGTCGTAAAAGGGGTTTACGGTCCAAGTGTTTACGGTCGTAAAAGGTGTTTACGGTCCAAGTGTTTACGGCCGTAAACACTTCGACGAGAAGTGCGATTTTCGGTGTTTCAAGGCCCTTTCTAGTCTTCTGGAAGTGTTCTAAGCTTAGTTTCTATGTTTAGGAGGGTGTTGTGGCAACTTTGTGCCACTTAAATAGAGTTTACGGTCAAGGGAGATTGCCTTGACCGTAAACACCCTTCTGGTCACGATTTCTAGATGTTAACAAGTGATTCTTGTATCCAA